GTGCTAAGACCAATGACGAGTGGATACTTGACACTGCATGTACTTTTCATATGTGCCCGCATAGAGATTGGTTTACTACTTTTGATTCTACTACAGATGCTGGTTCCATTTTGGGTTTTGATAATTCACCATGCAAGATTGAAGGCATAGGTTCTGTTCGAATCAAGATGTTTGATGGCACAATCAGAACTTTGACAGATGTTCGGTATATTCTGAAGATGAAGAGAAATCTTATGCCTGTGAGTGCCCTTGATGCAAAGGGGTACAAGTCAGGTGGAGATAGCGTTTTGAAAGTCACCAAAGGTTCTCTTATTGTGATGAAAGGGGACTTAAGTTCGACCAATGGTCTTTATTACCTTTTAGGTTCTACCATTTCAGATAATGCTACTCCAGTTATTTCAAAGAATTCTTATTGTGATGTTGTTAACCTTTGGCATATGCGTCTTGGACATATGAGTGCATGATACGTCTCCGCCATATCTACTTTTCCGAAGGCTTATTCTCTTGTTTTGGACTCTAATTTGCATGATTTGAATGAAACTAACTCGGGCTGACGCTGTTTTCAGCAAAACTACCATATTGTTGTTTTTGTGCAGAAATAAAAGTTCTCAGATTTGGACGAAACTTTTTGGAGTATTATTTTGAAATAAATACAAAATACTGGAACCAAGACCCACGGGAGGGGGGCAGCTACCCACAAGGCACCAGGGCGCACCACCTCCCTCTGGCGCCATGGTGGGTAGTGGGGCCCACGAGCCTCCGCTGTCCCTAATTCCGACGCTATAAAATCCTATTTTCTAGAAAAAATTGGAGAGGAAGTGCCATCGTGTTTTATGATACGGAGCCGCCGCCACCTCCTGTTCTTCATCGGGAGGCCAGATCAGGAGCCCGTTCGGGGCTCTAGAGAGGGGGATCTTCGGTCTTCGTCATCACCAACCATCCTCCATCACCAATTTCATGATGCTCACCGCCGGGAGTGAGTAATTCCTTCATAAGCTCGCTGGTCGGTGAGGAGTTGGATGATATTCATCATGTAATCGAGTTAGTTTTGTTAGGGCTTGATCCCTAGTATCCACTGTGTTCTGAGATTGATGTTGTTATGACTTTGCTTTGCTTAATGCTTGTCACTAGGGTCCGAGTGCCATGATTGCAGAACTGAACCGTTTATGTTTTCTTATGGACCCCGCTGCCACGGGAGGGTACAACAAAAGATATCATACAACTTCTTTCCATAAGCATGTATGACTATTTATGGAATACATGCCTACATTATATTTATGAACTGGAGCTAGTGCCGTATCGCCCTAGGTTATGACTGTTATATGATGAATATCATCCAACCAATGCACCGATCCAATGCCTACGAATTTTTCACATATTGCTCTTGCTAAGTTACTACTGTCGCTGTTACTGTTATACTTGCTACAACATCATCACTGTTGTTACTGTTACAATTGCTACTATTACCACTGATGTCAAAACTATCATATTACTGTGCTACTAATCACTTTGCTGCAGATAATTAATCTACAGGTGTGGTTGAATTCCCAACTCAACTGCTAATACATGCAAACATTCTTTCGCTCCCCTTGTATCGAATCTATAAACTTGGGTTGAATACTCTACCCTCTAAAACTGTTGCGTATCCTATACTTGTGGATTATCAGTGCACTTGGTTTGGCAGAGTTAAATAAGAGAGGACTTCTTGATGGATATGAAATTGGCAAATTAAAATTTTGTGAGCATTGTATCTTCCGCAAGCACAAGAGGGTGAAGTTCAACATTTCGGTTCATACAACTGTAGGTATTCTTGATTATGTACACTCTAATTCATGGGGACCATCTCGCCGGAAGTCACTAGGTGGTGCTAGTTACATGTTAACTATTATTGATGATTATTCGAGAAAAGTGTGGCCTTATTTCTTCAAGCATAAATATCAAGCTTTCACAACTTTTAAGGAGTGGAAGATTATGATTGAGAGGCAAACTAAAAAGAAGGTAAAAATACTTCGCACTGATAATGGTATGGAATTATGTTCTAAGCAATTTGAGAATTATTGCAACTCTGAAGGCATTGACAGACATTACGCCATTCCTTATACTCCTCAACAAAACGGTGTTGCTGAGCATATGAACAGGACCATTATTTCTAGAGCCCGTTGCATGTTGTCCAATGTAGGTTTATATAGGCGTTTTTGGGCTGAAGCCGCGTCCACTGCTTGTTATCTCAGTAACCGGTCATCATCTATTGTTCTTAATAAGAAAACTCCAATTGAGGTATGGCCTGGTTCACTTGCTAATTATTCACAGTTGAGAGTTCTTGGTTGCACTGCTTATGCTCATTTTTATAATGGGAAGTTGGAGCCTAAGGCTGTTAAGTGCATCTTTCTTGGTTATAAATCTGGTGTTAAAGGTTTTAAATAGTGGAATCCTGAAACACAGAAGGTTGTTACTAGCAGAAATGTTATCTTTAATGAATATTCTATGTTACATGATGTTACATCTACTAATGTTCCTGTTGAGAGTGAACAACAGCCTCCTATTCAGCAACCTACTATTCAAGTCGAGCATGTTATTGATTCAGGTGATACATCCGATAAGGAAAATGTTGATGCACATGATGAACCCATCGTTGATGATGACCATGTCACTCCAAATCAGCCTATTGTTCCACCAGGTTGGAATCTCTCACGTGATAGAGTTAGGCGTGGTATTAATAAACCTGAAAGGTTAATTGAAGAGTGCAATATTGTTTCTTTTGCTTTATCTGTTCTAGAAGAAATTGAAGGTAATGTTGAGCCTTCTTCATATTCCAAGGCTATTATTTCTGGTGATAGTAATAAGTGGATGACCTCTATGCAAGATGAGATGGAATCACTTGAAAAGAATGGGACTTGAGATTTAGTAAGATTACCTAGAGAGAAGAAACCTATTCGTGCAAGTGGGTTTTCAAAAGAAAAGAAGGTGTTTCTCCTAATGATGAGACAAGATATAAAGTAAGGTTAGTTATTAAAGGTTGCAGTCGGATTCCATGTATTGACTATAACGAAGTATTTTCTCCCGTTGTGAAGCATAGCTCTATTCACACTTTACTCAGTATTGTTGCCATGCATGATTTTGAGCTTGAACAATTGGATGTTAAAACTCCATTGTTACATGGAGAACTAGAACATGATATTTATATGGAACAACCTGAAGGTTTTGTTATTCCTGGAAAAGAAAAACTTGTCTGTAAGTTAAATAAATCTCTTTATGGATTGAAGCAAGCCCCTAAACAATGGTACAAGAGATTTGACACTTTTATGTTCCCTCTCAAGGTTTCAAAAGGTTTAATTATAATAGTTGTGTTTATTTGAACACTGTCAATGGTTCAACTATTTATTTTCTTCTTTATGTTGATGATATGTTAATTACTGCAAAGATCATGTTAGAGATTGGTGAACTAAAGAAGCAATTGCGTAATGAATTTGAGATGAAGGGTTTGGGTGCATGAAGGAAAATACTTGGCATGGAAATATTCAAAGATAGACCGTCTGGAGAAGGTATATATTGATAAAATTCTTCATCGTTTTAATATGAATAATGCCAAGCCGATGAGTACTCCGTTAGCCGCACACTTAAAATTATCATTAGCCTTATGTCCTAAGTCAGATGCCGATATTGTGTACATGTCTAGAGTTTCCTATTCGAGTGTAGTTGGTTCACTTATGTATGCCATGGTTTGTTCTTGTTAGGATTTATCATATGCATTGAGTGTTGCTAGTGGATACATGGCTAATCTTGGAAAAGAGCGTTGAAGAGTAATTCAATAGATTTTCAGATACCTGCGAGGTACTTCTAATGCTTATTATAGTTTGAGAAAACTAAAGTTGGACTTGTTGATTTTGTTGATTCCGAATTTGCTGGTGATTTGGATAAGAGAAGATCGCTCACAGGTTATGTTTTCATCATTGGTGGTTGTGCCGTGAGTTGGAGAGCAACTTTATAGTCTATTGTGGCTTGTTCCACTACCGATGCCGAGTATATGGCTATTTCTAAGGTATGCAAAGAAGTTATCTGGTTGAGAGCTTTGTATACTGAATTTTGTGGAGATTCATCTTACCCTACCATATTTTCTGACAGTCAAAGTGCCATATGTCTTACAAAGGATCCAACGTATCATGAGAGAATGAAGCACATTGATGTTATATTCATTATATTCGAGATGTTATTGCTGAAGGTGATTTGAAGGTATGCAAGATAAGTACGTATGATAATCATGCTGATATGATGACAAAGTCAGTTTCTACCAATAAGTTTTAGTTTTGCTCGGACTTAGTTGGTATTTCTCACTAATCCTATGGGTTTTGACGCACGAGGTGTTTATGCCGTTTTGGAAGGAGTTATTTACTTTCTTCAACTACTGAAGGTAATTTGTCTCAAGGTAGAGCTTAGTAAATTGTGATTCAAATTCTATCATGATGGACTAGACGTAGTATAAACGGTGTTGGATTTTGTGTTAGTCCCGACGTGTACGAGGACAACTTGTTTATTTGCCCTTCAAAAACTCTTATATATTGCCCACATATATATATACTATGTAGTTGCATCTAAAGATGTCATGTTGTCTCGTGCATGTAATACTCTTTCATCGTAAGATGTCATGTTGTCTCGTGCATATAATACTCTTTCATCGTAGTGATTGCATCGTGCATATAATACTCTTTCATCGTAGTGATTGCATCTTTCGTGCGTTCATGATTTGCTCCGGCAATTCGAACACGACATGAGGCGACGTTCATCACAAACAGTTATAACATGGTCAACACCATATGCACGCTCAAATCCTCAAAACCGTCGCTCAGTTTATTACATCCATTTTTATTCATAGATACACACACGTACAACTAGTGGCCTTAATTTATCAGTTCATGGCAGTCTCGTCCTGGATGTGTGTGTGAGTGCAGCGATCCATCTCCAGTCACCCATCTCCCCCGCCGTAGGTAGGTTGGTTGGTTGGATCAGCAGTGGGCCTCGCAGCTGGTGCAGTCGAAGCTGCACCCACCGCCGCCACCACCTCCCCCGCCATTTTTCCCATGGTAGCTGTACGAGCTGAAGCACTTGGACGGGCATGTGAGCCGCTGCTGGTAGCAGGGACCCTGCTCGGCGCAGACCACCGACGGCTGCACCACCCCGCGCCGCGCGAACCCGCCCCCTGGCCCAACGCCGCCGGCGCCCCACCCGCCACCGAACCCGGCGCCCATGCCTCCGGCACCTCGGGCGCCACTCGGCTGTCCGCCGCGGAACCACGGTATGCCACTGAAGAATCCCCCGGCGCCCGGGCTGGGGTGCTCCGGGTAGCTCCCGTCCGCGGAGGAGGCGAGGACGAAGGACAGGAGGAGGGCGAGCAGGAGGAGATGGGTAGTGCGTCCTCCGGCTGGCGCCATGGTCCTAGCTTTGTGTGCGTCGGGGAAAGCGAGGAGGATTCTTGGAACTTGGGAGTAGTGGACAAAGATTGGTTCGGAGGAGGTGGGTATTTATGACTTTGGGCGCGGGCGCGCGGCGACTCCATCGCGGGGAAAAGGAAAGTGGGCGGGGAAGGAAGAAAGGTAGTGAGGGGGGCGGTGCTGCGCGTGTGCGTGGCGGGATTCCATGTGGTTGCTGGTTTAGCTTTAGGTGAGTGCGTCTGAGCTGAAGCGTAGGTGTACGTGTCAGTGTCACCACCAGCTCGCACGCACTCTCGGTGCGCTTATCTGGTGCTCAACTGATGTCGATCCATCCGTTTTTTTCTTTGCAGGTTACTAACTACCACTGTTATCGAGGCACCGCGTTGTTAATTGCCGTGGCTATCTAAGCTAGCGGGAGAATATCTGGTGCTCGGTTGGAAGTGGAGTTTCTCAGCCCGAGTCAAATGAGCTACGGTGAACAGTAAAAAGATGAAAAAATGTTTTTTTACGGATGTACTAGGAACTTGCAAATTTTCATTATGGAATAACATTTCTAGAAGGCATGGTAAAAAGAAAAAGAAAATTGATACTTTGAAAATGCTACTCCCTTCATCCCATAATGTAGTGCGTATATATTTCTTTTAAAAGTCAAACTTTATGAACCTTAACAAAATTTATAGAAAAAACTATTTATATCTAAAATACCAAAAATATAAACTATGAAATTACATCTTATAATGAATCTAATGATATTGGTTTAGCATTCTAGACTTAAATGTTTCTCTCCACAAATTTAATCAAAGTTTCTGAGGTTTGACTTTTCAAAAAAATCTACATGCACTACATTATGGAACGGAGGAAGTACTATTGAAAGAATTTTGGAGCACTGATTTTTTTTTTTTGCAACGACTTCCACAAATGTGATTACTGATGAAATTTTGCAAACTCTTAGAACATTTGTCACAAAAACATTCTCTTCTTTTTTGAATTTTACTATTCACCCGAGCTTATTTTGAGCTCGGCTGAGAAGGTGATTTTCCGTGCTTGGTTCCACTTTCGACGGCCTACTATTTCACATCATAAGGCTAGCTATAGGGGGTAACTTAGGTAGTAACTTAACATAGTTCAAGACAATTTTGCTTATATAGCAAGTATTTAATAAAAAGAAAGTTGCTTGGAGTAACATAATATGTTACTGTAACATAGCGCTTCTCGAGATAAAATGAGTTTATAAGACAATAAATGAAACAATTTATGACAATACTACTAAGATACTTTGCACTATGAAGATAGTAACTTAGACTAGTGTCATATGCATGACACTAGTATAAATTACTCTTCAGTATGACCAGCCTAACAAATAGGGGCAAAGAGCTAACCAACGGGTGCAATTAACGCAGCTGCCACTGATCATTTGTTTAGGAGTCATCATTAAAGGTGCATATGCAGGGAGGAGATTCAATGAGCTCTAGCTGGCTCAGCTGCCCATTAATTTCTCTCTGCTGCACCGTCTTGAAGTTCGCGTTAAACGTAAGGCTGGTTATAGTGGGAAGTAACTTAGACTGTGTCATGCATATGTCACTAATCTAAGTTACTATCTTTATAATGCAAAGTAACATACTAGTAGTATTATAGATGGCTTCATTTATTAACTCGTAGACTTATCTTGTTTTGGAAAGCGTTATGTTACCACCTTTCATTTTAATTACTTGCTACAAAAGCAGAATTTTTTTGAAGTGTGTTATGTTATTAACTAAGTTACTCCCACTATGACTAGCCTAAGTGGCAAACCAAAAATTAGATGGGGCGGCCTTTGACTCGTTGCCAATCTGTGCATTTGCATGCAGTTTTTCTTTTACTCAAGCTTAGGACAGTGCTCGGGACTCCAAAACTAGTATACTCCTCCTGCCGCTCTTCCCTGCATTCGAGAACGATCGGGCTCGATTTCGTTGACATTAGAGGACAGGGATGCTGTCCTTCAAAAGTCAAAGTTGAAATATGGCAATGATGAAAGTATCTGGTGATACCACCCCTTAAATGTTTCCATGATACTATCTTTGAAATAATAATAATAATAATAATAATAATAATAATAATAATAATAATAATAATATATGACAAATAGTTCAAACAAAATTTAGATGTTCGCAAGACATGTGTCTACAAGCCCTAACAAAAATCAGTTCCAAAATCGAGTGTGGTCTGAACAATGCATTTTTATAAAAATAATAATTTTCGGGGTAATTTCTCACAAAATAATGTTTTATGCCATGTTTGAGCTAATTTTGTGGCTTTCAGGCCGGGCTTCGATGAAAAAGCTGAGCCCGAGCCCGGCTCGGATGTCGGGCTGTCCAGGCCGGACTGTCCATGCCCGAGTCTATGTACAATACATGGCATAAAAGCAAGCATGCGTAGACTTGGTGCCAGAGAAACTCGGCCTGAGCAGAGGATATAACACGACTACATCCACCCAGCCTTGAACTAAAGAGGCAGGCCAAAAGCATTATGACTTCCAAAATCACCAAAGCCAACAACAGGGAGGTCGTGAGCGAGCATGATGGTGCCTGCCGGTGTCATACACTGGGGGTGGCTCATTCAGAAGAGCCTAGCTCTAGGCCTCGCTGGGGCCCACAAATCCCAAGGCCGGACTAACCCTAAGGATAACGTCGGGGACCTTCTTGCCGGCCAAGACAAAAGATCGGAGGCACGCCAAATCGCATATGTCCCCCTCTAAACCCTAGACCTCTTCTGTCTACATAAGCGGAGGTCAGGGTGCTTTCCTCCCATCTAATCTCAGATAGCAGCTCTTGGTAGCAGCATCAAACACCATTGTAAACCCCTCGCACGAGGTATCCCTCCACCATGAAATATCAAAGCAAGCAAGATGCAGGCTATTACTCTTCGGAGGCCCTAACCTGGGGAAAACATTTGTGCGACCTCTCATGGTGTCCTGGACTAAGGGGTACTAACATGTACGGCCCGCGGTCAATGGGCCAGGATTATGGCCCGCCGATCACTAAAAGGAAGAACTACCGAAGCGGGGTACCTCGGCGTGATCAAGATGAAAACCTCTGAAGATTTGGCGTGTACTTCAAGGATCAGTCTAGCCGGCGCATTGGCAATCAACCATGTGTGTAACCTAGGTACCCCTGGTGCATATATAAGCTGAGGGGTTTAGTCTTTAGAGGCAGGATTACTAGTCTTAGGGTTTTGAACACAATCATATGATCTCGAGGTAGATCATCTTGTACTCTGTACTCCATCACATCAATACAATCAAAGCAAGACGTAGAGTTTTACCTCTTTAAGAGGGCCCGAACCTGGGTAAACACCGTGTCCCTTCGTACCATGTTACCCTTGTTCCTAGACCTACAACTAGGGACCCCCTACCTGAGATCCGACGGGTTTTGTAATGCCCACGATGCGGCTATATCTCCCATGTGTCGAAGCACGACTTAGAGGCATAACCGCATTGTAAGCAATGTCGCAAGAGGGGTAATCTTTACACATCCCATGTACTGAATAAGGAAAGAGATACATAGTTGGCTTACAATCGCCACTTCACACAATACATGAATATAGCATTACATCAGCCAGATACATACAAGGTCCGACTACGGAACCAAAATAAAAGAAGACTACCCCTGATGCTACAGATCCCCGATCGCCCCAACTGGGCTCCACTACTAATCAACTGAAACGAAACAACACAACGAACATGATCTTCATCAAGCTCCTCCTTGAGCTCGGTTGCATCACCTGCAAGGTATCATCGGCACCTGCAAACTGGTTTTGGAAGTATCTGTGAGTCACGGGGACTCAGCAATCTCACACCCTCGCGATCAAGACTATTTAAGCTTATAGGTAGGGAAAAGGTATGAGGTGGAGCTGCAGCAAGCACTAGCATATATGGTGACTATCTTACGCAAATGAGAGCGAGAAGAGAAGGCAAGGCACGGTCGATAAACTATGATCAAGAAGTGATCCAAGACTACTTATGTTCAAGCATAACTCCAACACCGTGTTCACTTCCCGGACTCCGCCGGAAAGAGACCGTCACGGCTACACACGCGGTTGATGCATTTTAATAAAGTTAAGTTTCGGGTTTTCTACAACCGGACATTAACAAATTCCCATCTGCCCATAACCGTGGGCACGGCTTTCGAAAGTTCAAATCCCTGCAGGGGTGTCCCAACTTAGCCCATCACAAACCCTCATGGTCAACGAAGGATATTCCTTCTCCCAGGAAGACCCGATTAGGCTCGGAATCCCGGTTACAAGGCATCTCGACAATGGTAAAACAAGACCAGCAAAGCCACCCGAATGTGCCGACAAATCCTGATAGGAGCTGCACATATCTCGTTCTCAGGGCACACCGGATAAGCAATACGTACAACTAAAACCAGCCCTCGAGTTTCCCCGAGGTGGCGCTGCAAGGGGCTCTAGTTTGGACCAACACTCAGAGGAGCACTGGACCGGGGGTTTAAATAAAGATGACCCTTGAGTCTGCAGAACCCAAGGGAAAGAAAAGGCTAGGTGGCAAATGGTAAAACCAAGGTTGGGCCTTGCTGGAGGAGTTTTATTCAAGGTGAACTGTCAAGGGGTTCCCATTATAACCCAACCGCGTAAGGAACGCAAAATCAAGGAACATAACATCGGTATGACGGAACTAGGGCGGCAAGAGTGGAACAAAACACCAGGCATAAGGCCGAGCCTTCCACCCTTTACCAAGTATATAGATGCATTATTTAAATAAGAGATATTGTGATATCCCAACCAAAATCCATGTTCCAACATGGAACAAACTCCAATCTTCACCTGCAACTAGCAACGCTATAAGAGAGGCTGAGCAAAGCGGTAACATAGCCAAACAACGGTTTGCTAGGACAAGGTGGTTTAGAGGCTTGGCTTAGCAATATGGGAGGCATGATAAAGCAAGTGGTAGGTATCGCAGCATAGGCATAGCAAAAGAGCGAGCAACTAGCACTACTAGGAAAAGG